CTTGTTGTGTATATATCTTTAAGTTATTTTTAACCGGTTTTTTATGTAAGTTCTTACAAAAAACCAAATAAACCTTTATCCTGACCACGTAAGCGTAAACAATAAAAAATAGTACATAAAAAGTAAATTATTTTTGCAAGAGATAAATTAAATAAATAGTTATTCCAACTCTACTGATGAAAGGTTGTATACAGTGTTTTCAATAAGACATTAGATCTGTTTGACTCCTGGCAGTCCCATTTTACCTCGTCAATGGGGTAAAAAGGAACAAATTACAAATTTTAGACAAATAGAAAAAAAAATCATTTCTATAATAAGGAATTTACTGAGAATTTTACTGAAGATAGATCGATACTCGGTAGTTGTATGGTTGATACGTGCTATGTGTTTTGATGTAATTCATTTGATTTAGACAGTATAATTACTTAAAGTCAAATTAGACCTTTGTACCCCTCTTAACCATGCATTAATTAGAGTAATATCTGAACTATCTCGGTTTAATTTTATTTTGTAATTCAAGAGATGCTGGAAGTTTTTTTTTTTTAAATTTATATCTAGATATATTTTAATATATTCGTTTATATATCATTTTGAGTTTTGAACTATTTAATTAACAAAAGCAGTTGTTATTCTTATGAAAAAAATTCTAAGCTTACACTAGCTTTAAGTACATTTGTTGGATCTTAAAAAGTTCAAACTATATATATTAAAAAAATTAAGTAAACAGAAGTTTTAAAGAGAAAATTTTATATAAAACATAGATTTCATTAAATCATAACTGAGATAGGTTTCATTTAATTATCAAGATTTATTATTATTATATATATTAGGTTGTCTATTGTTAATAATTTATAAAATGAAATTATTCGCTGGAACATAGTTTGATCATAGCTTTTAATTAAAAATAAAAAATAGCATAAACTGCTGGTCATACAAAATAAGCGTGCATTTTAATTGAAATGCACTTTCAAAGGTTTCTGCGAATTTAATTAGAATATTTCCCAGAAGTTTCAACAACAATTCTATGTCTACTGAACCGTTTAAGTTTGTTATTTTATCAATAAATTCATAAAAATAGTTATAACAAATATCAAAACTCTTTGCGCAATAATACAAAATTTTGAATTTGGACATATTCCACATTTCAGTATACCATAATAAACTTATAAAATTTATAAAACTAAATTTTCTATGGCTTTGAGGAAAATCAACATTATTTAATAAACTGTTGAACAAGATATAAGGAACTTGACCCTCCATTAATCCTACAATCATTAATCATTCATATGTTGAAATCTATTATCTATTCTTTGCCCTTGCAGGACATAGATTTTCTTCCATTATTAATTACACATGTTAAGACATCATTTGGATACTTGACATTATTGATCAGACATACCATAAAATTTTGGAATTAATATACGTGTGTGCCAGTTATTTATAAATCACATGGTCGCCTAACCTGGTATTAAAAAGCTTTTAAAATATCGTATACAGCACGTAATTCTAGTAATCAAGTTCCCAAAAATGTTGAAATATGCTTGTAGAATTATTATAACATATGGTAATCTTTTAATCTAAGCCAAGTTTTGTGTATTATAAATGACCTGCGTGATATGTTTCTATTATAATAGAGTTTTATAAATTCATATAAGTATATTTTGACAACTAATGCGAGATTCATTATTCCAGTCACAAAATTCGGCTTCTATACCTTAACTATATTCATAAGCAATAATACACCTACTTATAATATGATTTATATATTTTATATAATTAATCTTATATTCGTTGGGCGGTTTTATGAGTCAGTGCAACTATGAAAACTTCGTACTTTTCTTAGAATTATATATCAGCATACAAAAATGATTATTATGTGCAATTCTTATTAAGTTAGTTAAGTGGTTTGTGCTACTTTTTTATATGCTTATCTCACTTTATAAGTCTCGCATTATAAAAAAACATTAAGCATTTATTATTTTAGTTAACTTTAACAAAATTTGTCAATGTTGCTGTACTATACAGTATACACCAATGAAATATTACTTTTTATACCTATAATTACTCTGTAATAAACTGTATGTATCCCAAATGCAAGTCCTAGTTTTGAAATTACAAATATATTTAATTGAGAAGAATTAATGAATCTTTCACACTGATTTTAAAAAATAATTGGCTGACAGATAGAATAATAGATAAAGTTAGTATATAAATATTTAACAATTAACTATCTTCCATACTAAAATAATTGCTTTTAACAAATGTTAACAAATTCTTAGATAAAATAAATAAAAAATGTAATGATATTCGATAGTTTGCAAGTTTGTAATGCAATTCAATGATAATTTCGAAGTCAGGGTAGAGCGGGGCACAAAGGTCCAATTTGACTATGAGCAATTATATTTTAACAACCACATCAATTATATCACAATAAATTAAACATATTAAACAAACAACTATCTGACTATGTTCAGTAATAAGCTATTGAATCTAACTTAAAATTAGCAGAACATCTTATAAAAAAATTAAATAACGTATACCTAAAAGGTCTCGCTAACTAAACTAAACAACTCACAACCAAATAATTAACAACCAAAGAAAATACTTTTGTTATAGATTTTCAAACATTGCTTCTTATCTCCCTATAGCGACGTCGTAAGAATCAAGACGATGGCTAACTATACATTTTTTCTCTCTACTTTCAAATATTGTTTTTAAAAAATTCCTTACTTCACTTGTTTCTGAGATATCGGTGGTGAACCTCTTTAACCTAACCTTTAAGCCTCGCTCTCGCCTATATATAATTTAATATTTTAATGGAAATAAAAAAACAGGAACACTAGAATTTTTTATAGCCTAATTTAAAAATATCATTCTCAGACTTGCTTAGCAGAAATGTATATTTATGTGTTTATGTGTTTATGTAATATATATGTATACAAGTTCGGATACCATATTTGATTTTTATATCGAAATTGAACATTTTAAAGCTTAATTTTCCACTTCAAACAAATATTTTCAACCTCTCAGGTGAATTTTTAATTTTCAATATCCAATTTTATTTACCAGATGATTTGATGAAGATTTTTCTTATCTACGCCTATCTCTATTTTCTGTATGTGATGATTATTTTTTATATTTAATATATATAATATTAATAATATACAATATATTTATTTCATATTTTCCAGTTATTCTTGATGTTTATAGTTGATATTAAAGTTTTTGAATAATTTGAAATTTAGTTGTTACTAATTTGATTTGAGTAATACGAAAAACTCGATTTGCCTAAAATTTTACAGAAATTTTAACCTTCTAATTTTTAGGTTTGTTCTAATTTACTAAATTCTTTCGCCACCTAAGTAGATGATATATTATTCTTAACAAAGAGAAAAATATTTAAAATCCATAATGTCAAAAATAGTTGAAATTTGTTCACAAAATTCAATTGAAATTCAGAGTATCAGTTTGCATTCGATTATTCGATTGTCAAAGATGGTCGCGAAAATTTCATGTAGGTCTTTGTCAAGGGCGCGAGCTTTTTGAAAGCTCTTTATAGAATTTAAGACTCATTATTATTAATTGAATGTGACTTGAAACTACGTATTTTATTTGAGACTTACAGTAATGAGCTGTTCTAATTAATAAAGTTTTGATCATTTCAACATTCTTAGATATAAACAAATATTTTATCAAATTTTAAACTTTGCTTAATATTTTTATATGATAATTTTGAAATTTTGTTAATAAAAATGACTTTCGAGTGTTTGTTAATTAATAATTGTTTATTTCAAGAGAAACTTTATGTTTATAAAGACTAGTTTTTTTTAATTTAACTTAGTGTTACTTTTTTAAAAAATTGTAGTCTATTTCTCAAAGCCTGGGCCTACTTATTTATAGGACGCCATAAACATTTCTAATTGTAGTTGAAATTCTAAAGGTATATGGTTAAGATAAATTAAGCGAATATATCAATACTATATTAGTAATCAACGTTTCAAAAATTGCAAAATTAATAACAAACATACTATCAATACTATACTATACATACTATCATACTACTTATAGGACGCCATGAACATTTCTAATTGTAGTCGATGTCCTAAAGGTATATGGTTAAGACACAATTAAGCGAATGTATCAATACTATATTAGTAATCAACGTTTCAAAAATTGCAAAATTAATGACAAACATACTATCAATACTATATTAGTAATCAACGTTTCAAAACTTGCAAAATTTATAAGAAACATGTAATCGAAATCTAAAAATCATAAAAACACAAGCATGATATGATATTCACGTGTAAATTCGTTCAATTAGTGGTTTATTTGTCTTCCGATTAGTGTCTAGTGGTTATTTTTCACGGTTTTACTGTGTTTAGTATTCAGCTACTAAATGCCAATTTGTTCATTTATAACTCTCTCTGCACGAACATTGCAAGGAAATTTTCACAAAAGAAAAAATATTAAATTTATTAGGTAATTGTTAATCACTTGTAGGCTACAAATTGTAGTGACATTTTCACTTCAAAATATAGATAAAAATGTTTTTGCGTGAAAATAGAGATAGGCATAGTTAAGAAAAATCTTCATCAAATCATCTGCAAAATAAAATTGGAAATTGAAAATTAAAGATTCACCTGAGAAGTTAAAAATATTTGTTTGAAGTAGAAAATTTAGTTTTAAAATGTTAAATTTTGATATAAAAATCAAATATGGTGTTCGAACTTATAGAAACGATGGGTTCTGATCGTCTCTTTAAATAATAATAATAATTAAATATTGGATTTATGGGTCCTAGATTTGTTAATAAATAGTGTTTGTGTTCTGAATAGTAAATTAAAATCAGAACAAAAATGAATAGGATTATTTGGATTAGAAGTATTTATTTCTGGTAACATTTGGTAATTATAGATATTTTGTCTTTATGTTTTCGGAAGACAAACACAAATTAGTAACAAATCCTGGTTCCATCAATTTGAATATCATTGTTCAAGTCACTTACCATCTGGTACATAAACATTCAATAGCAAGCAATCTTCATCATACGGTTCCTCAGGCAAATCTTCTTCTCTAACTCTTCTCTGAAGCAAGGCGTCTATGATATTCTGATACTTTTTATTTAGTGTTTCTTCCTCTTCTGTTACGGTCATCTGCCAACAATCTGGACCAAATCTGGTAGCATTTCTCACTCCATCCCAACTGGGCGGTGGGTCAACACTAGGCGGAGCAAATCTCAATTGACCAATTGGTGGATGAGCATAAGGAATTGCTAAGTATGCTGCAATTTTTTGTACTCTGAACATAGACATATACATTCCTGATATCGAGCCTTGTTCGGGTAGAGTTATAATTGGTGGTTCGCGGGAAACAACTACCAGAAATAATTGAACTAAGGTAGAGAAATGAAATATGCAAACAGAAATGCACCTCATTTTTTTGGTTTTTGGGTATTCTATTTTGATAACAATCACTTCACTACAAGGTGTTCATTCAAATGTGTGAATTTCCATGTATCTGGTTTCAAAGCTTCTTAAATTTCATCCTTTTTTTCAAACTTATTTACAATAATTTGATGATGATAATTTGAAAATATAAACACTCAATTTATTTTTAAATTATTGTTATTATATATTGTTTTATTATCACTGTTTCTTAGGTTCTAATCGGCATCTAACAATTATTTGATTTATCAAAATCATTTAATTTGTGCTTGCAATTTAACTAAGGTAATGACAAAAAGTTCAATTTTCATGCATCATCTCAAAACAGGGTAGAATATTTCATTTAGTTCACCAACAGTTAGTTTCCACATTATATAAATGCTACAGTTTTACTAAAAATATTTGAACACTTATGTTAACTTTGCTAATCTTATGACACCAAAAAATCTGTATAACACGCACTATGATGTGCGGCAGCATCCTTTCTTTTGTTCTTGGTTTTGTACCATATCACAGGAAACATTGATGAATTTGTTTCACCACAAGTTTAACATAAATTATACATCATTATTAAAGAATTCATAGAGATTTATTAAATTCTTAGTCACTTTAAGTATTATCAATTTATGAAATGTGTTTTGTTCACAAACTATTTTGTTCCCGGTTTGAATTTAAGCTCTAAATCACATTTGTTCTTGGTCTTTGTCGTGAATATATTTTGCCACAGATGTTGGTTTATAAAAAGTTGAACAAACTGTGCTTCCAAAGATTAAGAATATATACCAATCTTCTCAAATATTTCGTTCTCTCCTCTGAGTCTTTGCTCGATTTATGAGTCCTCGATATCTCAGACATCGAACCATAAGGTTCATATTATCCTGGTGGAATATTGTTGACCATATGCACTGACTGTTTCCGTATATTTATCGAACTGAGGCGTGTGCTTCACGCAAAGTCTTGAGACGGAAACTCCGGAGAGTTCATTTGAAAGAACTAGGGCGCAAGCGTGCCCCGACAGGTTTAAAACAAGAGGGAGCGTAGGTTTGTTTGCCTATATTATGCAGGGTTGTACGGAGATTACAGGATTTGATTGTATGTAGACAAGAATGCAGTTAAAGAGCAGTGACGCCACTCTATTGCGGAGATCTGAATTGATAGAATTGATTTTTTAAGCACTAACGCCGATGAAAAAATTTTCTTCGAACGTGGTGTAATGAAATCTAAGACATTTTTGTTCTATAATAGATGACTCAAGATAACTTTTTGAAGTAAAACTTCTATAGGCGCGACTAGGGTGTAAATCCGTACAAATGCAACGGAAGTTACCGACGCCAGAACTGTACGTCATTCGCTCTTGGTGAAATCATTTCAATAAGGATCGATTGTGTTTAGTCGTCCTGTATGTAAATAGAGATCTGTCGTTGTATGCGTACCGGCATCAATGTTGTATGAGTCCCGATATCTACAAAAAATCGGCATAGATATAAACATTTTAAAGTTACAACGTAGTACAAATGATTTAATGAAAAATGCTTGAATCAGAAGAATATTTTACATTATTCCTTGAAAATATTGATTAATAAAATTCATGAATAGTCAGTTTATTGATTAGAAATTATTTCTATATTATTCGTTGTTTCTATAAATCTTTGAAGTTATGAAAATGGAAAATATTTTTTATACAAGACAGATATTACAGCTGTTTAAAGAATGAGATTATATCGCCAGCGAAAAAGTAAAAAAAATACAAGCAGTCAATGAATGTATGTTAGTTTTGATTACATGAAGTTCTCATTTCTAAATGCTAATTACAATGACAAACCGATCATGTCATATTTGAAGACATTAATTACATTACCAAGATAAACTTCTCAGGACATATTTATAGAATCATTCTCCTTGCTTTTGGAACTCTCATCTTCATCACCAGGTGTTGCTGAGATTTAGCCTTTGTTATATCTATTCTGGAATATAATATTATAATATCACTTATCAAGAAGTAACTCATTGAAATTATCAATTACTGGCATACATTAATAAAAAAGTGGGTATGTGCGAATGTATATATTTATTCGTATGATGTATGGATTGACCATCACTTGTTAAGACAAATTTGGATGGATCTCAAAACATTACTCTAAACCGACGCTTTGAGAACGAATTGGCATTATATAATAAATATCACATATTTTACAGCGACTTTAGTAACATCTTATATATTTTTTATTAATTTTTAAAATTTTAGCAGAACTGATTTTTCTGATAACAATTAAAAGCACAAATAAAAATGCAAAATTTTTTTTTAATCCCTCTCGCACATCAAGAAATTGCTGATTCGAGATATATGCAAAGCATTGAAATTCTTTTTAATCCAGAAAATGCATGCGATAATGTACTTAGCGTGAGGTCATATTTAATAATTTAGCTAGAACTCGAAACTTTTTCTTAAATATTTGTAATAGGCTTAAAAGCTTTCCAAAGTTTCCTAGTATTCGCATGAATAGTTAAGCTAAAAATAAAGGTAATGGAACAATATATATATACATATATATATATATATATATATATATTATATATTATATATATATTATATATGTATATGTATATATATATATATATATATATATATGTGTGTGTTTATATATTTGTCATATTTGAAATATTAGTAAAACATTAATGATCTTTAAAGTTTTTTTTGCTAAGAACCCTATTTTTTCTCCCCTTGGTTGAATTTTGATTTAATTTTACTTATTAGTATTAAATTCACTAGATTTTCAAAATTAATAGTAATTTTTGTTTTAACCTAGCATTCATTTCATTTTGTGCTCCTTATAAATTAATAACGACACGCAAAAATTCACAAATAAGCAATTATTTTATAGTGCAAATATAGCTCCAAAACGCGATTATCTAACTACGTGAAAATAATACAAAAATTTCTTCAAGACATTTACTATATTTAGCATACATTTACTTACACCAAAGGCTGGGCTATCTATTAAATAAGTAGCGGAAGCAATATCCACGAAAGGCATTCCTAGTAAATTATACACTATAATCATATATCAGTTGACCTTTCACAATATTTGACCTAGCCCAGTTTTTATTTCCTTTGTTTTATCAAGTTCCTAATTAAATATAATGGGTAATCCATAATGCTTTACGAGTGATATGAAGGTTATTTTCATCAAAATAATTTTACTTACATTTAGAAGCATGGCATGATATGTTGAAACAAGAGTTCCCCAAGATATCTGTATGATTTCAATAAATAATAATAATTTACTCACAAGAATAGAATAAGTTTTCACCATTAAGACTGGACTTATATACATTCCCTATTATTGACAGTGAAACACTAAAATATAACAAACAATAAAATGTATACAAAATCCAAAAATTTTCGATAAAATGATGAAGTTTTCTGCAGCAACCCCAAAGGATCCTTTTTCAATCATTCATGAATAATTGAAATTATTTTCATGCAAGAATAATCTATTTTAACTAAAATTAGTAGAGAAGATTAACACACTATATTGGGCTGAGAAGATTACTATTAGGATGTTTGCTAAGATATATTGAATTTGCAAAAAAAGTTCCTTCAGAAATAAAAGTATGCATAAAACGTGTAATCATTAATAGCAATTTAAATAATGTTGGAAAAAGTTAATAAAATATTAACTGTTATTAAAATCAGTAAATCTTTTCCAATGATTTGGTATTGCATTCTCTGGATTGAACTTAAGTTTTTAATAATTCATATGTCATTAAGTATTCTATGCATCAATGCTGTTCTAAATATATTTGTGCATTAATCCATTAGCTAATAAATTTTTATTGAACGTACCACTGAAATAATAGCAATGAAGCACCACTCCTTTGACCTTTTGGATTAAAACTATGGATCACGAAAATGTGAATTCTGCATTAGCTTTGATTAAATTTACTTTATTATAGCAAAATATATTAATATCCATATCAATGGATTCATAAATAAAACAAATATTGAAAGAAACTAATATTTATGTTAAGAAGAAAAATAAAAAATTGTCATACCATATCTATCAATTTACTCCAAATTAGACATGATGCTCATTGCAGATATGAGTATATTTTTCAAACTGATCGCTTAAT